ACACACCGAGATCAGGTTAGTCCTCCTTACCCTATACCATGTCTCTCAAGAGATTCAAGCTTCCCCAAATAGGATAATTCTTTTAAAAGCGAAGGAGGAAGAGCTTGAAGACAAAAGTGGAAAAGAGGTAGCGGAAAGACCTCAACCCACTCTTCATCCTCAATGAAGAACTTTGGATTATGGGGCTTATTTGGATTATAGGAAGATGGAGTAGGTGAGAGTGCACCTAGCAAAGGCTTTTGAAGGGTCATATTGAGCACGAGAATGCTCGACAACTTATCCTTCAAAATTTCAACATCCTCCTCACACTTATCCGGCGGTTCGGGCTCAACAACTTGAGACAACTCAAGAGAAGGAATGAGATGAGATGCAAGCTCCCAAGAAAGAGATACATTTGATGTTGACCAAGGAAGATAATGAATAGGTGGATGAATATTAAGCAAAGAATTCAACTCTGAAATGGAATTGTCAACATTAAAATCCTCACAATTGAAATGAGCCAAACAAGCTTTTAGAGGATCCTCCATTGAAGGAGGTGCATCAAGCAAAGGATTATTTAGGGGTTGTTCTAGAGTTTTAAAGGATGCAATCTCATCATCTTTTTCCTCATTTTTAACCACAAATTCTTCCATTTTATGAGTGGCAACAATTTGATCTTCAACCACTATTTCATCATTTTCATAAGTGATGACCACTTGATCATTCTCATGATGAAAGTTACTAGGAGTAATCTCATCATTCATAGAATTTTCTTTTGGATTGGCCATAAATTCAAATGAAAATGTTTCCTCCTCTTCATGATTTTTAGCATTAATCCTTTGTTGAATTTGAGATATTTGGTCATCTATCATTGCACTAACTTGGGACTGGTGATATGGTACCACTTGATTGATAGACTCTACTGTGGATTGCATGCTAGCAAGGGAGGCCAATAGTTGATTGTTGGAGTCCATCATTTGCGTGTGCATAGACTCCATCATTTGTTTGTTAGCAACAATTAGCTCATCCAATGGAGACGGTGGAAAAGGAGAAGAGGGCGGGAAAGAATGATCATTGGGTTGAAAAGGTTGCATATGAGATTGTGGGGTTGAATTTCCTATGTCATGCCACAAGAAGTTTTGTTGGTCTCCCCAACCCGAGTTGTAACCATTGAAGTATGGATTACTACCCGGTTCAAAGAAATTTTCATTTGGTTGCTCTAGATAAAAATCCGAGAATTGTCTCGTTGGAAGACAATCTCTTGTATGATGTGTATTACTAGAGCAAAAAGCACAAAACGCATGTGGTGTGTAGAATTGAGTTGGAAGATAACTACCCTCCATCTAGGACTTAAATATCAACAACACACAACATAATCAACACAACAATTCTTTATCATCAACTCCACATACAATGATCCCTTTCTCCTCAATTATCAACAAGATAGGAAATAAATGGTCTCGACAAGGACCGATGCTTGGAATTGAAAATACACAATTGAAAAAGCCTCGACAAGGGCTTGCAATTTATCTACTTCTAAGCTTAACACATGCACGATATTCACAATTTGAAACTAGAAGTCACGAGACTTACCTGGGGTCCTCTAGACTTACAATTTGCTAGCATTCCCACGGCGAGCTTCGAGTTCCTAGAATCTCACTTACAACACAAAAATGGTTAAACCACACAAGAAATATTCACAAAACACAGTATTCACAATCAAACTAAAATTAACCCAAGAACCTTAGTTGCTAAACCGTTTGCAGTCCCCGGCAACGGCGCCAAAAATTGATCGGTTGGTCAATTAACATCAACCTTCGCAATAGCACGAATCATTGTAAAATAGGGCTATTGGTCGGGTAAGTCGAACCACTGGGACTGCGCTAGTCTATGGCAACCTAAGAGTCTAGATTACTTTTAGAATGATGAGGGGGTATATAGAGTTTTGTTGGTTTGTCACTTAGTCACTAGAATTGAAATGTGCTTAAAGAAATAAATGCAAGGAATTTAAGAAGAAGAAGTCTAGAAAAGGAGGTCTAGGGAAGTGAATTCACCACCAATCCTATAAACATACTAAATTTCTATTAACTTGGGAAACAATTTCACTACATGGCAATGATATGTAGTAATACTAGATTGCTACATTATCCTCAAGAAAATCATAGGATCAAGATTTAAGTATAATCCCTCAAAGAGCCACATGCTAGAACTACCTAGATTAGGTGTAGCCATAACATGCTCACTAAGCTAGGGACCATCAAACCCCTTAATCACTATGGTAATAGCACATGAAGTCAAGATACAAGATTAATCCATCAAAAGGAAGTCTTAAGCTATGGATTAACAAATTTCTCATACAACATGCCTTTAAACCCATTTCACAATTTCATTTCCATTCTCACTATGAAGATGCAAGTTATATAATCATGAGAGGATAAAATCTAAGACAAGATAAGAACTCAACATGATCATTTATAGGCATTGAAATCCATTACAACAAGTGTAAGTGCTCTAAATCATGAAACTACCATGTACATGAATCATTCCCCAAATTAGATGAAATTAAAGCATGCTTACAAGAGAGAGCTTCATCACCTCCCTAGATGGAGGTTTAGTTATCCATGGATACAAAAATGGAAGAAGGAAGATTGGAAGAATAAGCCATTTTCGAGCTCCCTTCCTTTGGCTTCAAGAACACACCCTCCTTGCTCTCTTCTCTCTCCTCTAATCTTGCAAAATGAAGCTTAATGATATATGTGGCCTTTGGGTAGCCTTTTATGCTCCAACCATACCCTCTCTCCCCCAAGGGACACCTCCAACCACTTCATAAAGAGGGAAGATGGCATTGAGGAATCCAATGTGCAAGTGGGCTGAAATGAGCCATTTCCGAAGGGCATTCTGCCTGATTTTCGAGCGCACGCTTGGTGACTTCGAGCACTCTAACTTAGTGCAATGTGTAACATGCTCCTCTTGCTCAGTGCTGACCTATTTTGGGAAAACTGCTATAACTTTGTGCCCCGAACTCCGAATGACGATCTGTTTGAAGCTTTGGAGAGCTGATTCAGTGCTTTAAAAACTTCATGTTTTGATGAAGACCCAAATCTCAAGTCTGGTTGGTCGAAAATGGGGAGAAAGGCAGTACATCAGTGCTGCCAGGCAGTTCTGCGCACCTCTGTTGTGAAGATCATAACTCTCTGCTCCGAACTCCGAATGATGAACCACTTGAAGCTTTGGAAAGCTGATTCAGAGCTCTAAATCTTTCATGTTATGAAGGAAGTCCAGATCTCGAGTTTGGAAGGTCAAAATGGCAAGCAAAGACCAGGCTCTACTGCTGCCAGAATTCAGCATTGGCACCCTTTTGTTGCTCAAGACTCCACAAGGCCTTATTCTTGTTCCATTTTGGCCAATGAACCTGAAAATGCATAAAAACATAGAATTGGAGTTAATCTACATAAAATAATTAATAACTGGACTTTGTTAATGTAATTTAGGGCGCTTGAATATACATTATTCGGCGCTCATCAATTAGCCGCGGAAGGCGCATCGTCTTTTGATTTATTGATGTTTTTTCTTTTAAAGAATGTGTCGATAGTTTTTAGTGGCTTGCCCATCGTATAACACTATTGACACATTCTTTACAGAGTTTGAAATAACACGCATAGAAAGAAAGAAATCGAAAGGAACCTGAGTGGCATTAGCAGTGGTGACATTAATCGAGAGTAATGGGGCTTTCCATTCATTGCCCAGATCTCTAGAAGTTGAACTGACCAGTCTTACAGACCTTGAAGTAGTGGGCAACTGGGTAAAGCAATTCCAGAGAGCGTGAAACGGCGTGAGAGTGAGGAATGGGGGAAAATAGTATAGGGCAAATATATATAGTTGGGTTTTTTATGAAAATTCAATGGGGACAAACTTAAAATTTTATGGGTGTAAAATAGAAGAAAAAAATTGAGCAGGCTATATAATATAAACAAAAAAAAAAAAATCAACCGGCCAGTGGCTTAGCAGTATCAATCTCTTCTTCCTAAAGGGAGGTTAGGGGTTTAAGTTTCAGAAGAGACAAGTGTGTGTGAGTACAACTAGGAAAAAATATATATAAACAAAAAATTCAGGAGGGGCCAAGTATGACTTACCCATATTTTTTAGTTTTTTTGGCCCTATACTAAAAAAAAAACTTTCAAAATTTTTGGGGGGTCCTTCCCTCCGCCCCTGCGCAACACAAAAGGGCAGCATCAAAATGATGCTGTGAAAATTGTAAATAAAGTGGCAGCAGCTAGTGTTTTCATTTTTTTTAGGATGCTTAAAAACAAAACATGGTTCCCCAACAGATTTTTTTGCTGCAGCTTTTCATTTTTGAAAATAGCAACATAAAACTGAAAATGACAGCGTTGCCAAACAAGGCCATAGGGAATAAAATATCCCAATGGCTGTGATATGAAAAAAATGACTTCATTTCTACAGTAACAGCTACGCTTGGTAAAAGTTAAATGTATCAACTTGATGGTTTTACAGTATAGGCCACATCTTGATAGACTTCACCAACAACATAGTTTTTTTTTGGACATGGCAAGGAGAGTTAGTAGTAGTTAGTGGGGATTAGGGGAAAGGGGAATCGAACCTATGATAGGGTGGGAAGCACTTAAGGCCTGTCCCGGGCAACACTGCCACAACATAGTGAGGGACACATTTATCAGTAAGTTATGTTATTCTTCATGAAAAAGAAATTCCAAGAACAAAACTGTTTTTATTAATAGAACTGTCACAAATTGTTGTTAATAAAAAGCATTATATAGTAGAACTGTTTTTATTAATAGAACTGTCACAAAATTGTAGTTAATAAAAAGCATTATATAGTAGAACACTGTATTCCTCACACCAAAAGGAAAAAGGTGCTCTTACTGAGTTCACGCCCTCGAAAGTGTTGAAGTCAGTCTCTTGATCCAATGGCTAGAGGGCCTGACCTGAATGAGCACCTTCAGGATGGATTTCTCCTGCTAAAATCCACAGATGCTTTTTTACAGAAATAGTGAAAAAAATACTGGAGGTACGCCCCGACTTTTCATGGAAGAAGAATTCACATGGATGCACACCACTGCACCTAGCTAGCAGTAAAGGACACTTGGAGATAGCAAGGGAGCTTCTGAGATTGGATCCAGACCTTTCTTCCTTGCAGGACCAAGGAGGTCGAACACCACTCCATCTGGCTGCCACTAAAGGGAGAGTCAACATCTTAGTTGAGATACTGTCAGTGAGCCTTGAATCTGTTGAGATGGTAACAAGAAATGGAGAGACAGTTCTACACATGGCTGTGAAGAACAATCAGTTTGAAGCAGTTAGATACTTGATGGAAACTCTCAACATTACAAAGCTTGCTAACATGCAAGACAATGACGGCAACACCATCTTGCACCTAGCAATTGCAGCAAAACTCACCACTGTAAGGCCTCTCTATGTGCACTTCAGCTCTCTCATTATGTGTTGACAATGGATTTTCAAATATTAAGATCAAAGACTTTCTAATCACTTTCACATAATCTCAATTCAGCTCAACAAAGTCTCACCTTTCCACAATTTGGGATCACCACTAATCTATACAATTGTCTCATGCGCAGTACAAAGTAGCCCTCTTGTGTGGCCTCCAACATTACATGGACCATTTTATCCCTCTAACATGCGTGCACACACATATTATATTCTTTTGAACACAGAATTGAGATAATATGAGTATAGGATATATGCATGTCCAATATATTCTTTTCAATGTGTAATGATGAAAGAATAAGAAAAAAATTCAAAATTAATAGTAGATAAAGTTTTCCTACTTTTTAAGATAGATGTGAACTCCTTTCATTATATCCTATTTAATTTAATTTCTACTTAAATAATAGTATCATGGATTACCCTATTGTGTAACATATAATATTTTCAAATGTGTACTTAAAGATTTGTGATTCAGGAAAGTCGAACACCACAGATCCACACCCCACAGATGTACTTGAATCCATGTAATATAAGTGGCATCACATGACAGTAGGGGCTAAAAAATGACTGGGTTTGAGTTGAATTGAATCATGCAGGCTAGTCCAGATTGTTTACTGTTCCATTAAATCAAAAATTGAATTCAAATCCTCAGATTGAATTCATGCAGGTGGCCTGGGTTCACAAGATGCTTGTGTCTAACAATTAATTAGGCAGGTCAAGCTTGTTTTTTTATTGTAGTCATATCTAAAGTCGAATACCAACCTAAACCTAAATTTTATAGTAGGATTTTATTAAACAATAAGCAAGTTGTCAGATTGGTTGTTCTGGTCTTTGTAATACTTTCTTTTTCTTGCATATTTATGCCTGGAGAATAGATGGTCACCCACATGCTCAAACTTGGTGTGGATGTAAATGTTCTAAATCGCAATGGACAAACACCTCTAGATATAGTTGCCTCTGATGCTAGTAACTCAGGTGCCCTTATGGTCATGCCAGCATTAGAAGAAGCAGGTGCTAAGAGAAGTGAGCAAATGCCCCCTACATCAATAGAAATCCGGCGGATCAGCAGCAATCCTATCTCCGAGAGATTACAAGTAAACAGCCCCAACATACCAAAGAAGACTTCAGAGTCTCCGCGCCAGTACCACTGGCAAAAGCAACATCACCATCACCAGAGAGCCAAGCAACTCGAGCACCAAATGGAGGGCTTACGCAATGCGCGAAACACCATTACAGTTGTGGCAGTTCTAATAGTCACTGTCACATTCGCAGCAGGTATTAACCCTCCTGGCGGGTTCGACCAAACCAATGGAAAGGCTATAATGGGTAGGCACACTCCTTACAAGGTTTTCATAGTGTGCAATATTATGGCATTGTTCTTGTCCCTTGGCATTGTCAATATTTTGGTTAGTGTTATTCCTTTTAGGAGAAAATCCATGAGTAAACTACTAGTGGTGACACATAAGATCATGTGGGTGTCCACGATGTTCATGGCGTCGGCTTACATTGCTGCCACGTGGACAATTATGCCACAAAAACCAGGGACTAGATGGGTGTCAGTAGAATCGGTGTTGGTAGGTGGAGGGAGCACGACGGCGGTGTTTTTGGGGTTAGGTGTGATGCTGTCAAGGCATTGGTGTAGAAAGCGGGAATGGAGGAAGAGGAAAGAGACCAGTAGCAAGGATGGAAGCCCCATTAATAGTACCAATAGTCGCATTGCAGAGATGAAGATGCTTAAGAAGAGGAGTCGCGAGTCTAGTAGCAACTCAGATGTTGATAGCTCTGATCATGGTTACCACTTGTATTAGATAGTAACATCCATTGGAGCTTCATGAATAAGACATCCAGCTAGATAGAACGCTAAACAAGTCCAGTGTGATACTAATGCAGCACAAGTCTGGTAGTGCCTCGTCCTGAAGTTCTAGGTATATAGCATTATGCATATGTTAGCACTATCTGATATAAATAAATATGTGAATGATGGTGATGCATAAATATATATAGCTTATGTACTTCTATATATTCATTGCTTTCAATTAGTGAATTTCTTCTTGAAATTCATCATTGTTAGAATTTGTAATGTTTGGACAATTTCTGTTCATATGATTTGAAATTAAGAGCTTCAAATTACTAGAAAATGCATCCCATATATCATATCTAAATGTTTGAGTACCTAATTGATCAAATCAATTTGGACAATGGGCTATGTGAAGGGTTGAATTTTAATAAATAATGCTTGAGAAAATTTTAATCATTTATGAGGCATTACTATGATAAATAAGTGTCTATAATTGGAAGAAACACTAATTCTGATTAATTTTCACACCTGATAAAATGATATAGAAAAATCACTTGTTGATACTTGAGAGCACAGTTTTAAACAATTTGCAAGTTTTAATAAATGTAAAGTGAAGAAGGTGGTTGTGCTAAGCAGTATGTAAATGAGAAACACTAACACCCACAGAAGCATGTAAAGATAACCTATGGACTGCTAAACAGTATGTATAGTATTATACATATGTTTGCACTGAAGACACTATTATTTGTAAGAGTGAAAACTGCAATTTGTAAACACACGCATTCAAACCCAAAAAAGAATTATTTGATCTTCAAATACCCCTTAATCTGAAAGTAATTTCCTTGTAGCTTTTGGTAAAATAAATAAATAAATAAAAGAAGTTGGTGGGCTGTTTCCTATGGAATGGAACAAATTCTAAAAATCATGGTGCCAAAATTGTATGGATTCAAGTATGCAGAGTTGCAGACCTAAAGAAGTCGGTGGGCTTGGTCTTCCACACCTTGACTCCTAAGCGAAACTAATTCTGTGAAAAAGCTTTGGCTCCTAATCAAGGAAAACCCTCACAGCATATGGGCTCAGTGGACAAGAATGCACTTAATCAGAAACAGGAGATATGGGGCTTAAACATACCACAGAGATGCTCTTGGAATTGGCGCAGCCTGCTTTAACTCAGAGGACTTGTTAGGCCATTTATCAAAGCCAAAGTGGGGAATGCAGAATCACTGTTTCTTCTGGCATGACAACTGGACTTCAGATGGACCTTTAGCTCCCAGCGCCACCCAGTCTTTCATCAATTCCAGTGGAATTGACACCACATCAAAACTGAGCTCATTTATAGCCAATTCTACATGGGAATTCCCCAACACCCTTAACACTCTATTTCCTATCCTGAACATCCTTCCTCCACCAAACCCATTACCCTCCGATTTTTTCAGATGGACACCCTCACCTTCAGGCTCTTTCTGCCTAAAACACACTCTATCATCCTCTGGCTTGCTATCCTAAATGGGCTCTCAACTCTAGACAGCAGAGCCATGTCCTATAAGAAAAATCCAAACTTTTGTAGCCTCTGTCTCTCCGACGCAGAATCTCCATCGCATCTATTCTTCAATTGCTCTTTTGTTCAACCCATGTGGAGATTTTCGCAAACACGTGGTGGGTATCATATTACCACTGAAAAACCAAGAGTTGCCGCAACTCAGTCAACAAATTAGCTTTTTCCGCATTTGTTTACCACATATGATATGAGAGGAACAAGAGAATCTTCAAAGTAGTCAGATCGTCTCAGAATATGGTGCTATCAAAATTTACAAATTCTATCAAAGGAAGGCGACTCTCCTCATCAATGAGAGATTCTGTCTCGAGTCGTCGGATTTGCCGCAATTGGGACTTGCCATCCTCTTTCATCCGCCCATCGCCGCGACCTCCGGACCTTCCTCCTTCAGTTGCCTAGCATAGGCCAACCTGAGCGCACCACTCGTGGTCACCGGAGGATACTGACGAGCTTAAGAGCCGTTAAGCTAACGGTCTTTTGTTATGTCTCGTGTTGGGGGCTTCAGTGAGTCTGGGCCTGATGATTGTATCATTTGCTGTATTTTGGGCCTTTCTTGGAAAGCCCAGTATGTTTTATTAGCTTTGGGCTTTGTCCTCCCTAACCTCATCAGTATCGACCCTGTACATATATATATAATTGTTTGAATTTTCAATATATATATATATATATATATATATATATATATATAGATATAATTTGTTACTACCTCTGTCCTATTAAAAGTCCACTTAGGAGACAGAGGTATTATATGTGAGTCACAGTTTTTGAAGTGGACTTTTAATATGGGACGGAGGGAATATATAACAAGTGGTCAATCCCGCTCATTACTAGCTTTGAAAGAAATAAAATGATCCTTAGACTAACTTGTCTTCTCTATTTAGAAAGAACAAGAGATTAATGAGACATTCATGCGAAAGAGATTGTGTCATTTCCACTCTTTATTTGGTTGGATGGAAGGAAAGATAATAAGATAATACTTTATTTTGTTTGTTAGGACAGAATAAAAAAGAAAGTGTTAATTATAAAGAAAGTTTTGTAATTTAAAAACTTTTATAATAGTCTTGCCCTTTTATCCCTCCATATTTGTTAAGATAAAAATTTATGGAGGAGAAAACATGATTAGTCCATTATCTTTTATCTTCTCTCTTTGTCTCTCTCTACCACACCAAAAAAAAGTTTGCAGATACAACAAAGAGTGAAAATTTTTTTCATGAAATACAACAAATTTCAATTCAGTTCAGCCTTTCATTTATGAACTTAAAAGACAGTCAAAGTGCATGTGAAAAAATGAAACAAAGATCTGGTGCTAACCATTTCTCTATGTTTTAAGACCACATTTTTGTAGCATATAAATCTCAATGACAACATTGCCTACATGAAAAAGCCACCCTAGCATTTCTACTCACCTTGTCACAAACTCTGTATTGGCAAAAAAAAAACCCACATATTTTGACAAGTTTCCATCAAATTTCACACATTTGATGTGTGTCTTTTGCTCTTTGATCCCTGTGAACTTCTTTCTCGACCTGCAAACCAATGAATTGTTCGCTTTGCCACAGACAACCAAAGACGCCTCGACCCCTCATCCTTTCCATCATTCCCGGAGGACAAAGATTCTTTGATCCTATTCCTCGTACTGAATTCTGTGAGCCTTCAAAAGTTGGTAATCTCCGACATTGATCTCTTGTCAGCAGCATTCAACAATCTCGAGGATGCACTTTGATCTGCTTCGTTGTCGGAAGCAGAAGCAAAGCTTGAAGTTGAAGAGGACTGACTTCTATTAATGTATGGTAATGTAGTCCTCTCTATGTCGTCTTGAATATTTACAATCTGTTCATTCATTGCAAACTCATGGTTGAACCTTTTGCTCGACATAGCACTAAGCATTTCAGAATTCAAGAGCATCAAATCGGAAGAGTTAACATCACTCCATCGGCTTTTGTACAAAATGTCAGAGAAGATGATCTTGTGCTTGAACTTGTGGACACAATTGTTACCGAGTTCTTTCTGACTTTCATCCAATTTTTGAAAGCTACTTCGCATTTTGAAGCTCGAGGACCTCTGGTGATCTTCCTCCCTTTGAACAAAGAGCTCGAGAATTGGATCGTCTACTAGATTTGGACAATTTTGAGGATATCTCAAACTATTTGAGTGAGTCAAACTGATGAGGTCTTTCACATCAAACTTGTACCGGCAAAGAGGACAGCTAGAGTGTTTTTCTAGCCACTGATCAATGCAGTTCGTGTGAAATGCATGCCTGCACTTGGGCAATAAACGAAGAATATCAGTGTCCTCGAATTTGGATAAGCAAACAACACACTCTAGGCCTTCTTTTGATCCCTTAAGCAAAGAGAACTTGAAAGAAGGGAGTGATTCGATCACTTTTTTTTCAATCCCAGAAGATCGAGAGCACAATCGAAGAAGGTCATGAGGGTTGTGGGGATGAGGTGTAGCTGTGCTGCATAACATAGCATAAGCAACCACTAGAAACAGCAGAGAGAAACTGATTGTCACGATGCCAATAGTGAGTGGAAGGCTGAGATTGAGTGGCTTATGGACATGCATGATTGAGTTGTCTTGGGCTCCTACATGAAAGAACAAGAAATGAACTATGATGAACACTAGAAAATGATTCATTGAGAGATGGGTAGAGTTGATAATTCAAAAAAAATTCTGAAAATTCTGCGCGATCTCAATGCTTTTTATGTGAAAATTCTTTCTCAAAATGCACCAAAAATATTCACGTGTTCATAATATTCATTTGCTAAAATGGTTTTGTTATGCATAGTCGATTCTATTTGTCTTTGCTTTCCTGGTTTTTTCCTTGCTGGCTTTGTCTGTCCTAATCTGAAAAATAAACAATTATAAATATTATTTTTAGGTCTTCTGGTACAAGAAAATATGCTCGAGACATAGAGCCAAAAAGCGAAATTGTTTAAGTTTTATTTTAGTATTCTTACCACAGGTCTTATATCCCTGTTTTCATTGAAAAATTCAACTTGCAGGCCAAAATGTGAGTGAGTATCTTGCAAAGAGTAGCCAAACTCTCCCAAGAGTTGGTCGAATTATTCAAGCACGAAATTATAGCCAGGAAGTTGGATCCGAACCAGGCAAGAATTCAAGTTTGAGCGCGGAATTGCACTGGAATTTTGTGTCTAGCCAGTAAATGCTCTGATTCAAAGGATTCTTCCTTGGTTGCCTTTGTTTGTCTTATTGGAAATAAATATATATATATATATGTACGTATGCCCAATGTCATATTCAAGTAGTGATAAAAGGATAATCCAAAACAGCACCTTTGCCTAAGAGGAAAGGAAATTGTTGCACTCTTATGACTTTGTGACTGATTGATCTTCCCATGTCAACTTTTGATCCAAACAGACAATTTGCAGATTTTGATTGTCTAGATTCAAAGGTATAAATACATGAGCCATAAAGAAGATGTAATGTGAATAACAGTTAGAGCCATTTCTTACCTACCATGGTTCAGCTTTTCAAGCAGAGAAAGAGAAGAGTCATGAAATTGGAGTTGGGAGTTTTATTCAGAAAAGACATGATCTCTATACATGTAAAAACATGGATTTTGCTGGCCAAATCACAAATCAATTTTGAGGTGAAATGGAATTATTATAAATTTTATCATTTTTATTATGCTCTAAGCACAAGTGATCAAGTCAAACACTATGAATGTGCACCTGCATTGTGATTTTTAATTTTAGCAATTTTAACTGTCACTTGCATGGACCTGAATCCCCTCCTGTTTGGACAGGGTGCATTGGGCTCCGGACCAGCCGACCCAAACAGCACCAAAATGTTGTCATTTGGTGCACCAGATGCACCCTCCTCGCATTTGTATTGCATCGGATGCTTCTTCTAAAGTAAAAGGTTTAGGGTTCAAAAATGTAGAAAAACCTAGATCAATCAATGGCTGACAATAGGTGGCAGTATAGCAAGAGAAATCCAGCTCTTTAGTTCTACATTTGTGTGAAAGGTATTGGTTTTGTATAGAATTTTCTACCATATTTAAGAATGTTAGTTGTGGAGTCTTTTTATTAGGTAGAAGTATCATCAATATACTTTTGAGTGAAGTTCTGAAGAATTCTGTCGTAAAATTCTGGAGAATTAATGTGAGCCATTATTGATGTAGTGACCGCTATAAATAAGTGTGATATATGGTACATTTGAAATAGGTTTACATACACCCTCGTGAGTTTTCATTTCATCCCTATTTGCCACCAAAAACAAAGAAAATAAGGAAAAACAGACATGTAATTGGTCAACTATCCATCTAAAAACTGAAGCGCGATGGTGTTTACTTCTTCTTCGACATACTGGATTTTTTTGTCATCGGTGTATCTGGATTTATGGTTATCACTTTATCTGTATTTATTGCACTTGTACTGGTTTGGTGCAATAAAGCACCATACAATCTCTATTATGTAAACATTATGGAAAGGGTACCCTAAGTGAGGATTATCTATCTAACCTTTTTCTACCAACAACAAAAGACGTCTATATTGTACTGGCGCAACCCCACGTCTATATTGTACTGGCGCAACCCCAGGCCCCACCCACTAACCCCACGTCTATATTGTACTGGCGCAACCCCAGGCCCCACCCACTCTTACACCGTCTCTAGTATATATATATATAAATATATATATATTATACACAATCTCTTTCTCTCTCTTATATACACACGCCCATAATCTCTCTCTCTATATTATATCCTCTATTTCAAAAAAAAAAAAAATTAAGTAGAGACATGGGACAATTGTTCAACTACAGCAATAAGTGAAAACATATATCAAAGTTCAGGTTCTATCAATTTTCTTATTGCTTTTAAATATTTGACCATTTGATCAATGCCTTTTTATACAAAATTGAAGCCTTAGAATTGAAACCCTTGACAAATGGTCTCCACCATATAAAATCAAATGAAACTAGACGAAATTCAATAAAATTAACTCACTCTTGATCTCCAAATGCTTGAAGGCAAAAATGAAACTCACTCTTGGAACATTCCTACGTCTCACTTTTCCCTACTCCATGATCTGTTAGTATGAATCTTGCAAAATGCGAAGTCCTGTCATGGGTGCTCTATTTAATTGGTTATTATTATAATTATTAGGGTTTACAAATGCCTCCCGATAATGCAAAAAAATCTCAACTTTAGGGTTTAACTGCAAAAAAAATCTCAACTTTAGGGTTTAACTGCAAAAAAAAATCTCAACTTTTCGTGGTTTTACAATGCCCCCTGATAATGCAAGTAACACCTACAGGTAAATACAAAAAAATGCAGACACCAATATCATAATTCAAAACTAATTCACTCATGTTTTGTTTGACACCAATATCATAATTCAAAACTAATTCACTCATTTTGTCTTTGGTATCACTGAATCAATGTTTTGGAATTGAGATTGGATGAAATTTTGTTCAAATTTTAACTAAATTTCCTCCAATCCCAAGTCTAAGGTGCCAATTCGATGTCGCCAAACGTAACATCAAGGTTATTTATTGTCGTTTTGTATCTTCAGCCTTTTAGGTTTACTAACCTCTTTGGTTGACCAGCTTCACATAATTTTCCATGCGCAACATGCACATAAAACCGTCAGAGACAATTACAAGATAAGGTCTGAGCTTAGTGCTTACTTTATATATGACCAAGCCTGCATGACATGCATTCACAACAAAAACAACAGCAGCAACCCAATATATATGTGTGTGTGTGTTGAGCTATGATATCCAAGAAAATGGCCCCTCTTTAGAGTCAATAGGCCCAACACCATCACATCATTACCACAAGCTTGAATCTAGACAATAAAATGGTTTGCGACCAACAAGAGTTCTTTGCTGTCCAACAGTTGTATTCAAGTTCTTGTAGCATCCAAAAATTACACAAGGCTCTACTTTAATGGGAATCATATACCTAAATGTCCCAATATCTAACTAGTAATGCCAACAAAATGGCATTAACTGATACCCTGCCCGTGGACGATTATGCACTCCTCGTGATTATAGGTTAGATATCATGCAGCTTTTGATGAGTCACTCGGGACTTGTGACTGCAAGCTTCTCCGGAGAAAGTCTGATAACTTTGCACATGTAGCACGTCCTCGTTGTAGACAGTGAAGGTAATCATCCACTGAGTACAGATTTAACAAGATATTAGCTTTGGCATATTAAAATTAAACACACGGACAGCAAATTTCTCAAGTTAAATGACCTAATCATGCTGCAAGGACAATATAACACCTGAAGAAATAAGTGTCAAATTATTATAAATTGATATAAACCAACTCCCAAAGACGATCCACATTGATTCTTTTTGGGGTGGACAGAGACAGAGAGAGAACAAGCTCGAGGAAAGATCTCAATAGCCTGCTAAAGTACTAGTTTTCAAATCAAATTACTTGCAGCTCTTCCATATCTCATTTGCCATATTTCTGTGAAAATCAGCCCCCCAATACAAAGAAATTTGGAGCACCAAACGAAACCCACTTAAATCTAATCACAGGATCAAGGACATTTTTTCCATCTGAAAATTTGCTTATATTACAATTAAGAATATATAAATAAATATGCTTATATTACACAAGTACACATTTTTGTGTTTTAGAATGAACAAATGCAAAAGAACCAGAAAGCTGAAAAATGATAAACATACTAAGCATGAATAATGAGCAGTTTAATTGAACAAAAGGCCATTCTCATACTTCTGCACTATTTTTGAGTTAATAAGGGTGGACAATTAAGTGTCCAAACTAGCATTGAACATGGATGAGCACGGTTTCTTGTTGCTAGGAGTCTGGAGCGACAATGTCGGTATGGAGTGTCCTACATATGATATTATGCCATTATCTGCTATTCAACTATTATTCAAGTGATAAACCCAATTGGTATTTCTTTTTGGATAAGTGTCAAAAGAAAGCATCCCGCAAGATCGGCCCAATTGTTTTGATTGAATTTTAGACTATAAATACCTTACTCCCAGTTATAACTTCAATCAAATATTATTCAGTGCTTATGACAGCATACTCCAAATACCCACTTAAAAAAGAATAATAATCAAGCTAAACATCGTTAAAACCAGCTACTCTCATTAATATATCACTTTTCATTTGTTCCGCAAGCAGGAACTTCAGTAGGACGACAAATTGAATGGAGAATTGGTATCCTTCTAGTGTTTGAAAGCACTTAACTGGGTATACTGGTCGATGCGTAAATACATACTAAACCATGATCTGCTATAATAAATTTACAATCTAATGTTTACCTTGGCCTCTGAGTAAAACAGTTAACAGAAATTATCGAAACTTTTTTAATAACATGACAAAAAAGGTATCATCGATGGCCCAGGAGAGAAAAAGGTATGAGAGGTACCTGGCATTACACCGTGTGTAACAGATGTAATAATCCCATGTTCCATTGGTTCACCTCCAACCTGTAAAGATCCTTCTGGAAGGGCACAGAGAATCGAGTTTGGGAAAACTAAATAGACAATTGCCTTCATTTTCTGCCATTAGACAATGTTACCATGTCAACAACTCTATGGAAATATACAGTACAGTTATCTGTTTATGTTCTACAAAGCTACAAATTACAAAATTGGAAGCATTACGTGGCCAAAGTATTAATCTAAGAGCGCTGAATAGCAACCGAGAGATTCTCTCTCTCTAGGGTTTCTGCATTATTTTTCAACCGATAAATCTGAATCGGAAAGTTATGGAGGAGGTAATAGATTCAGTTAATTGGGAGTTTCTATAAGTGTTGTCCAGCATTAATCCCCCTCGCTGAAGGATTTTTTTCTCAGCAAGGAGGATAGTTTCTTTGTTGTTTTCTCAGTTTGTCTATTGTTTTCCGAAAATGCTTTCCCGGACAGTTTTTGTCAATCTACTCTTATCGAAGTCTGATCTTCCATTGAAAGTGAAATTGATGATGGCAAATAATCAGATTTCTGGCATTGCTTTCCCAGAAAAGTGTGATCAAGAGAGTAATTGCAATGTTAAGACGGAATTGAGCAAAGATGAGAAAAATGTTCAATCAATGGATGGTTCAACAGTGAACTTGATGATGGCAAATAATCAGATTTCTGGCAGTGCTTTCCCAGAAAAGTGTGATCAACAGAGTAGTTGCAACGTTACAACAGAACAGAGCAAAGATGAAAAAATATTCAATCGATGGATGATTCGTGTGTGTTAGTGATCCCGGCTAAGTGAGTCCTCTTAACCCCTTTCGTGGATTCCTTTGTTCAAAATTTAAACCCTAACAGTTTTGATGGAATCTGTGGACAGAAATAGATGCTGAGCTTGAATCTGGAATCTTGAAACTAAAAGTCATGAATTGGAACAGGAAAATATGGATCTGAAGTGAGCAATTTCTGTCCAGTATGGGTGGTTGAGGTTGCGCAATGCAAGGTCCTGGTGGCAGAAATCACAATGGGAGAGGTGGTGGCAGATGGCACGGTTGTCGAAATAGCAATATACTGTTTGCTTCACAACGAGGTAAATTCTTGTGAGATGGCTGCGAAAAATCAAGTGGCCGGAATGGATCTGTACAGTTTTTCATCCGGGAATGGAGGTGACATGTGAGAAAGCGCGTGAAATGCAAGTTGACCTAGACCCAAGTGGAGGGGGTGAAACAGAATTGCTCAGAAAGAGACACATGAACAATCAAGGTAATGATCTAACTAATTCTGGTAGCGTTAACTTAAATCTCGACCGTCTCTTGTTAAACACCTAGATCATGCAAGTAAGAACGTATTGGCAATCAGTGTCCCAAATATCTTGGATCCGGATCACAAAATGTGGGCTCAGATTACGGCAATAGAAACAAATTTGAAAGCCCTCAAACTGGAATATTTTCCTCCGTCCGCTGACGATGATGTTATTCTGGTTGATCCTCCGACTGATCTTCCTGGAGATGGTTTGGATAATTGGAATTGCTGCCCTGTGGGTTATTTCATTTATAAAAAGAACTTCTTTATTATACAGTGAATTCTATAGCTCACAAAATTTTGGGGGAAGTTTGGATTGACAGAAGTTTTGGGAATAGAAAAGGGGGAAGTTTGAATTTCAAAATTGGTAATGAACAAAGTCAAAATAAGGTGTTCGAACAAGGGCCTTGGCATTTTTTAGACCGCCATATTGTTCTAAAGCAATGGCATGAAGGTCTGGTAAGTAGGGCTGCAAATGAGCCGAACCGAGCTTTAGGCTGCTTGGGCTCGGCTCACCTAGGCTAAGAGGTACTTGGGCTCGGCTCCTATTCATCAACCATCTTCTCTAAATATATATGTGTGTGTGTGTGTGTCAAATGAATCAGCTGACCCAGACAAAAAAAAACTCCACCAATCCCCTTTGAATCGACTTCCAAGTTCACCAATTAATCACCCATCTTCTCTAATTTTCATCATCTTCTCCGCAAACTTCAAACCTTCATCAAGGGAATATATATATATATATATATTTATATATATATATATACATTGAGATAGAGAGAGAGAGGGAGGGAGATAGAGAGAGAGAGAAAGAGAGAGCAAGCAAACCCTAGTGTCGCCTGTGGAGTCCAAGGATGGTGCAGTGGAAGGATTGTCGTTGTAGAGAACTGTGTGGTTGCAGAAGCTTGGTTGCCGCTGTGTTTCAGGGCTTTCCATCTAACCATTTATTCCTTTTACATACTATACACAACACAATATCCAATGGCTGAGATGAAGTGATGAACTATGATTTGGGCCAGTGGGCTATTTAATTAAATGGACTCTATTTGTCAAATGGACTTTTAAATACTAATGTACTAATTGGGCCAATGAAATATTTATGAATTTGGGCTACACATGTATGCATGGGTTAGGCTTTTAAATACTTCCTCTGTCCCAAAAAAAAAAAAAAAAAAAAAAAAAAAGTCCTTTTTGGGGAACTGTGACTCAAAATTGTGTAAACGAGCCTGTTCACGAGCTCACGAGCTAAGCTTAACATCGTTCAAACTCGTCTCTTTTACTAAACAAGCCTGAAAAATGAGCTTGAGCTCGAGCTCGGTTCGTTTACTAAACGAACGAGCCCGAGCTGAGCTTTTAGCTGAGCCCAAGCTGTTCATGAACAGCTCAGTTCATTTGCAGCCCTAGTACCAAGGACCCAAGGGTAACTCGTACCCTACTTGCTTCTTTAGGAAATTTCACCCGAGGACGGCAGCCCAAGTTCTTTGATTCAACGCATTCGCCAACAATATACCCAAACATGCATTTTTCAAAAAACCAATTAAGCACTGCTCTTAACAAATAACCAAAATCAAGAGCTTCTAATATAACATTTCCTATAAAAAATCCAACTGTAGAATAATATAGATAAACACACAATTTAACAAGAGAATAATAGTATAAACATGTTGAATACGTGTATAGCAATCCATGACCAATAACCTGAAAATAATCATGCTTTTAAAACCTCATAACAGAAGATATACAAGTGTAGATCTGGAAATAATCATGCATGAAACCAGAAAACAAGTGTATGTAAACACATGCACACATGTAACTGTAAAAAAAAAAAAAAAAAAAAAAAATGTAAGAAAAGAAAAGAAAGGGAAACCACTAGAACAAAATAAGCCACTTTTAATCTGTTTTCTGCTATTTCCGTTTGCATGTCCTCTAAAAGCACAGTATTTAAAAAAATAAGCCAACTTTCAGTTTCAGATTTCTAAATGCTTCCCACAATCCTTTATAAAGTCTAAATTTTATACAAAAGAAAAACCAATAACACAAATTTAAATAACGATTGCACATTTATTGGGTATTAGCTGGGAGTCGCATAAAATTGTTCACAATCAGATGGAAATTACATATTTAAACAGGAAAATTAGACTAACCTGTTCTTCTTGCTTGTCGGGGTCCAGTATAACAAATCCATTTTCTGCCAGACAGCAACATATTGCAACTACACAAAACAGCAAAAAACAATCAGTTAACATTCATATAATGATAATATGGAAGTACAGCCATAAGTCTTGCTTACCAGCTAGATGCTTCAAAGGAATACTAGCATCCACAAGAGCAGCACAGGCTGCATTTATGGCACATGGGAGAAGCTAGACAAGGTTCAGTGAAGGAATTTCAAATAAATAAAATAAAAATAAGAATTGGCATATCCTACATCCAATATTTTCACATGTAAATAGGGGATTTTTAAACATCTCGTGATAATAAAATCAGACCATTTTGTCCCCATAAGATATAAATGCATAAATCCATTAGTACAGGTGCATAATATAAAAGTATAAAAATTAAAAAATTAAAAAAACCACTGCACAAACTTTGGAAAGTTCACCAAAAGATCTAACACTTTGTGAGAAATGTTAAATTTTCCAAAAGACAATAAAATAATTTTATCTCCGAATGGACATCCAAACATGCAGTGTGTGTCAAATGGACCCCAAGTATAAGACATGAAACAAAACAACAAGACATCAGAAGTTCAGTGAATGTTAAAACTAAAGTCTACTGACCTTGACACTACTTAGAAACTTGAGACACCTAAATGACCTTTTACATAGGTCTTATCAGTACGTTGAAGAACATACCAAGAACACAAATATTACAATTACATGTTGAAGTGAAAGCCCTAACAACTCTGCCAAAACAACCATTACTGTACTAGAAGGGAACACAGCTTAACCATTAAGGATACAGCACCATCATCATTAACAACCTGCAAGGAAAACATAGAACCCAATGATTGTAAAAGAAGATGCTAGTAATAAAATCAAAGAAATATGATGCGCTTGAAAACCAAAGAAGTGAACAGCAAAGTGCCCTCTGACTCGGTGTACAATGTAAAATATCTGAAAAATAGACATAAAAATAACATGGTGCCCAAGAATAGCTGTGACAAAATACCCTCTTACATTTCACATGCAAATAAAAGCACCATTTCTATAAAAATTAATCATGCCTACAGCTATTGAAAACTTAATATCATATACTCCCTTTGTCCCAAAAATTTTGGGCTATTTGGGGAATCCAACTTTTTATGGTAGTGGGTTTTTAATACCTTTTTATTGTATTGATAAGAGTGAATTTCCAAATTTATCCTTGTTAAAAGACAAAGGAGTACTTCCAACTTCGTAATTAATTAGTGCACTTGTTTAATCAAGTCAATGTCAAAAGGATAGTTTGGGAATGTTATAAAAAATAGTAAATCCGTTTTTGGAATAGGACATGTATTTTGGGACATCCCAAAATAGAAAGGTGGACAAGAATTTTGGGATGGAGGGAGTATCAAATATCTTCTGAAATTTGTTACGTTCTGACACTGAACTTTCCCATCATTCATACCTGCATGAACTATAAATCCAATAGCATATTATTGTAATGCCTATCATCTTGACTTTCAACAGCCATTAAACCTTTGTTTGCATGACTGGAAAACAAACAAAACTGGAACTTGTAAATACATTAAGATGTACTATTCCTGAAAGTCAAATTTCTTTTTTCCACTCATCCTTAAGTTTAGGTTTCAGCCAACTACTAACATTATATATTGCGCAAAAAAAAAAAAAAAAAAATGCTCCAAATGATGGCATTTATTTTTATATCAGACACACCAAGACATGAGTTTGAGAATATGTTCTAGAGGGCCAAAGCCCTATGCACAATTCTGTAAAACTGTTACACTTAACACAACAAAGCTGCTCCATGTCCTTCTCTTGTAGAGCTATCATCTTGAGAAGACGTACTTTAAAAAATAAAAAATAAAAATAAAAAACCTCATACCAATATATTATATCAATTAGGATTCAAAGTCAAGTTCGTATTTGTCTAACAGGCCACCAAGATAATATCGTTATGCAAGACAAGGCAGTCAAAATATTGGTTGATTAGGGAGATGGCAAAATCAGTCACATATCATTAGATGACCACATTTAGCTATCTGATACATCTTAGACTTGCACATTGATTCCCAACACACACGAGGCTTTAAAGTTTACTCTTTTACACTCCAACATCAAAGTAACAATTCATCAAACCCTTTTGGTCGTTGTGCAGCTTTTCTTGGGATGCATTCCCCATTTGAACACTTTCTAATACAATATTACTTATCAAAAAAAAAGTAACAATTCATCAAAGATCTTATTGGGCTTTGAGGAAATCATGTTTGAGTAAGCCTAGTTTTAGGTTGGGTTCCTTCAACCAATAAAAATATGCTAGTCTATTGACGCATCTATAGTAAATGTTGGAACCAAGGGAAATAATCTATACCAATTGATGGTTTTAACTATACTATATGTGTTATTTCATGTCCTTTATTTTTATTTTTAGACACGTTCACTAAAACAAGAATCCTTTTGTAGCAAATCGTTTATTAAAAAAAAAATTGATAATCTTAACACAAAAGCGGAAAAAGAAATAATAGTAAATTGGTCCCGGGCATGTACCATTATACCTACTATAATTAGACATACTATTGCTATACATAATGAAAGGAACATTTGCCCATTTATATAATAAATCATATGGTTGGACCCGTTGAACACAAATTAGGATAATTTGCACCTACATTAAATTTCCGAGGACATGCAAAAAGCGATAATAGATCCCATCATTAATAAAATATATATAGATGCTTGTCGTTCATTAGGAGGAGGGAACCTTATGCTAAAGAAGAGAAAAACAGAAGTATTAGAAGGTTGTTGCCCTTCAACAAGGCTCTCCTTGGGAAATGGCTTTGGAGGTTTGGGGTTGACAAGCAGTGGCTCCGGAGGAGAGTTATTGCGAGCAAATTTGGGGAAAGTAGTGGTGGGTGGAGCTCTGTTGAGGTGCGTGTTCCTAAGGGAGTGGGAGTCTGGACAGTCATTCGGAAGGGGTGGGATGATTTTTGCAAACATATTCGTTTTCGGATTAGGGATGGTAGGAGGATCAGATTTTGGGAGGATACTTGGTGTGGGGAGATTCCCTTGGCTCTGTCTTTCCCACGACTATTCAGAATTGCTTAACATTAGGTAGGCCTTGGTGGTTGACTGTTATCATCTTGATAACGGAAGACTGTCTTGGGATGTTCAGTTTAGGAGGCACTTTCAGGATTGGGAGATTGAAGAAGTCACTCGTTTTTTGGAGTTACAGTATCGTCAGGTGATATCTCATCGGGAGTCTGATTGTTGGCTTTGGAATCCTAATTCTCAGGGTCGGTTTGAGGTGAGGTCCTTTTTTAGGTGGCTTACGATTGGTGATGGTGGTCCTTTCCCTTGGAGATCTATTTGGCGCTCTAAGGCTCCCTTTAAGGTGACCTTCTTTGCTTGGACTTCTGTCTTGGGTAGAATTTTAACCCAGAATAATTTGAGGAGGAGGAATTAAGTGGTGGTCAATTGTTGTTACTTATGCCTTTGCTATGAGGAGACAGTTGATCACCTTTTGTTACATTGCAACATGGCTAGAGCTTGTTGGGATTTGATGCTTCGTTTGTTTGGGGTTCCTTGGGTTATGCCTTGTTCTTCTAGAGGATTGATTGAGGCTTGGAGAGGTTTCTCAGCTGGGGCTCTCATTCGGGATGCTTGGAGGGCTACGCCTCTTTGTATTCGGTGGTGCATTTGGCTCGAGAGGAATAGAAGATATTTTGACGGAAAGGAGAAGCCTATTGCTATGCTTAAGTTCTCCATTATTTTCACTCTTTTTTGTTGGGTTTCGGGGAGAGATTATAGATCTATTGAGGAAATTGTTCTCTTTATAGCCTCTTTGAAGGCTTGAGTTGTTTTTTGTTTGGCCTTTTGTAAATTTGGGATCCGCTCCCCTTTTGAGCGGTTTTTATATATTTGACTTACTTATCAACAAAAAAAAAAAAAAAAACAGCTTTAGATCAACATATATCTATGTCTGCTCACAAAGCGCAAAGAGTAATTGATAAAATTCGTGGACGTTCATATAAAGAAACACTTGTGATACTAGAACTCATGCCTTATTGAGTATGTTATACCATTTTTAAATTGGTTTATTCTCGAGCAGCAAATGACAGTTACAATCTGGATTTCAATGAAATAAATTTAGTCATTGGTAAAGCTATATTCAACGAGGGTACTACCATTAAGAAATTAAAAACTAGAGCTCGAGGACGTAGTTATCCAATAAAAACACCTACTTGTCATATAACTATTGTAGCAGTTATGGATCTATATTGTTGCTCTTGTTATTTTTATTTTTTTCATGATCCTTTTTACTTTTTGAGCCTTAAATGTATCACGATTCATGCCATTGTGCAAACCCGATACCAATCTGAAACATTTCGACCAAGTCATTTTGGTCCACCGAGTTGGTCAATCGTACCGCGATTCTGTGCTAATACGGTGAGCTTCTTTCTATACTTGCTTCCTTAGTTAAGCTATCCATCATCATGTCCATAGTTCCCTTTTTATTTACTTAAGGTTGCCTTTTGAAATTTTAACCAGTTGTTAATACAAACCTCATAATTTAAATTATATATCTGCAGCATTGGATCTAATAAAAGAAATACAATCCTTTCATTCATATCCGGGATTATATATGGATCCAAACTTTGTAAAGCATAGCACAATTTTTCAGTATATTCACTGTCTAGTAACACACTTACACTGACAAGCGACAACCTAAGCTGGGTAGTAAAGCTCCTCCTCCAAGGTTAAAACCTCAACATTGAAAGTTTTCTTTTCTTTTCTTTTTTTTTTTTTTTTTTTCAAGGGTCAACATTGAAAGTTAACCTAAAATGCACTACCATTGAGTTGTTCAAGAAATTAATCGTGAAGCAATTTCATACAGTATGATCAGGTACATATGATTAAAACAATGAAACATTCTATGCCTTTTCTAGCAAAGCTGTTTGTCACATTCCCAAATATCAGAATACTCACCATTCCAAAGTCTAGGAATTTATCTCACAAAGCATACATCCAAAATTCATAAAAATGAATACATAGACTCAAGACGCATCTATAATAAAAATTACAATAATTAGCTAGGTCAAATATTCATTTTCTGTTGAATTTGGAACTTTTAAGTGCAATTAATTGCCTGCCCAGTTGGTTAAAAGGCTAATCTACTGACATTCTTTCAATTTCTAGAAATTACTTATTATTGTATGATAAGGCTTACAATTTAGAAACTATACTTCCAGAGCTTTATGACAATATATTACTGATAATTTCAACATCGTTTGACCATTCCTGCTAGAATTTCTGAACAAAGTTAGGTTTAATCCAAAATCTAAGACTAATTAGTTTCAATACTCTTTTTTCAACCAAGAATATTTTCACATACCTATATTATGTCAAAAGATTATCTGTCAAAATTTCATTAATTTTGGTGGTCATTTAACAAGGTTCCAAATTTTCCTTTACTAGGTAAGGTAAAGCTCATTTCACCACCTTGCTCAACTTAACTCTATTTTGAGAATGTGACAAATAGAGAGAGGTAAGCAAAATAGCCCATTAGAAAACCATTCCACCAAAATCATAAAAGTGTTTGCAAAAACAGAGATTTCAATTGTACAGAGGTAATATTTTGGTTCTCACTCTTTAAAACCTGTAGATTATTTATGTTTCATCACGGAAATCTAAATTGGTTACTCTTGCACTTTAGCACTTCTCCTTTAAGAGTCTGGGTTGGTTCTTCATTGCTTTACTAGTATTCCTAGATTATGATTCTTTTTGATAGAAATTAAGATTTTATTTCCATTTGACTTTATTATTGTGATTAATTTTTAGTGAAATTTGTTATTTTAGAGTTTACACATAACTTGAAGGTTTTAATTGTGTTCAAATTCTTATCAAGGGGATACATACTTTAAATTAGGAGATGCACATAACATGAACTATAATTGAAATTTGAAGAGAGGCAAATATGATTGTTTCACTATAATTTCGATTCAAATCCTAAACAAATAGAAAACAAATTGAAATTGACATCACATGTCCAAGCTGCTTAATGGAATTATATTTTCTATATGAATCAGATCACCACACCTGAACTATAACTGTGGTTGTGGTATTTGGATTAACAGACAAAAGGCAGATGCTTTGCAGAGTTCTCTTCAGTATCATCTCATATTCCTTTTCCGGTTTCCCTAACAGCAGAAGAATTTTGAGCAAAATTAGAGGATGAGAGTCAAATAAGCTACATTTTTAATTAAAAAGCATTCAAGCAAATGGGTGAATTTCATGCATTTGGCATCCTAAGGGTCACTGAGACAATCAACTTAACAATCTAACAAAGCCTACAAAGGTCAAATTGGACTCAAATAGGACGGTTTTTAAAAATTTATGCAGCTTCACAGAGCAATGCATTTACCACCAATAGAATACTCAGGCTCTATGTACTTCTAATAAAAAAAAATTCTCTAAATTTGAAATAAAACAATATCAGTGTTTCAAATAATCCACGGACACGGACAATCAATATGCAATCTTCACATAAAATGAATGTAAACTATAAAGTGGTAATGCATCTATCTATTTCTATGTATGAAACTTTCAAGTAAAATGATTACGTAGGGAGCAACTTTTGAATAAAATGATCATATAGCAACTTTTAAGGAATATTTTACCAATCTGCCCCGTCTTGGGCTTCCAAAAGACTTCAATGCAAGCCTTTTCGGGGTTTTCATTCTTCCTGGTTCCAGCTTTCGGTCCATAAACTGCAACAAGAACTTTTGTTTCTCCTACAACCACCCAGTCGAACAACACCCGCACAAAATTAGATTATTTCGTCAAAAGAAAATCATTTTCGAGAAACAAGTTACACAACTAACCAAATTTACATACACAAACATAATTTTACTTAAAACCCATACAAAGAATGATTAAAATTTCAAAAGTAAAAGGAAAAAAACAGAGCATAACAACACAATAATCAAAACCCAAATGAGATCTGAGATAAATATAGTATTTTGAACATCTAAGAGTGGTGCGTGCGTATGTATATACGGAATATATAGAGAGAGAGAGAGATAGAGAAGGGAGATACCTTGACACCAACTGGCGGAGCCATGGGCACGGTTGAGAATGCTGCGTGAACAAGCAAGTGGTCTCAACTGGTTGGGTTTGCGTCCATCCACTCTATCGATTTCCATATTCTTTGGACTCTACCGACCACACCTATCTTCAAGTTTGGGTTGAAAATCAAGAGAGACAGATGAACTATCAGTGTGAGAAGATTAATAGAGTTGGGAAAATTTTCAGAATTTCATTGCTCCAATTGTTTGATGGTTTGGTGCAGAGAGAGCTTTAAAATGTCTTCCTTTATTTTGTGAGTTGTTCACAAAAAAATCTTCTTCAGAAGCCGAGGAGGGAGAGAGAGAGAGTTCAGGGACGGACTTGAAGTTTGAAATAGGGTTTAGATGAGAGCAAAAGAAGGAGCGCGCCGGAGTGACGTCACGTTGCCGGTAGGGTTGAGGAGCAAGTGAAGCTTGTGGAGGGTTTAGAATCATCATGTCATTATATACTTATGTTCTTGTGTGATCACGTCCATGGTAAAATTAAATTAAATTAAATTAAATTAACCAATAAGAATGACGCGAGCTTTTGTTTTTGGGTTTTATCAATAGAAATTAAATAAACCAATAAGAATTAAACATTTTCAAACTGCATAATGATTTGATTATTATTATTTATAAATAAATAAAAAATAAAAAATAAAAAAAAAAACTAAATTAAACCCTATACATTTGGTGCATATGAACATGCTATAACATTTCAGACTTTATATTTACAACTATTAAAACTTTCAAAATATGAAAAAAATTATCACAAAAATGTTACACAGTGTTTTAACATACAAGATCACGTGAATTAATTTTGTTTAAACATACGAGATCAAGTGAAGTAAATTTTCTCTTTTAAAATTATCTTATCATTTTTTAAACAAACAACCACTTCATCTTCGGAGCGGAAGAGAGGTTCTAATTCAGGCGTGGACAAAAAAAATGTGTGAAAGTATCCTTGTCAATAAATTTATTTAGTTTTGAGCAAGCTCCCTCATTAATGCTATAAAATAATTGAGAAACTTCATATTTGTAATAAAATATTATTTAATACCGAGTTTTGGTAGCATTACTCAAATGAAAATTTCTATAAATAAATATTGTTATCGCAGCACCACTCATATAAAGGTTAAAAAAACAAAAAAAAAAAAAAAACTTCAAACAAAGCCTAGTAATGCAATTGGTCTTTCAATGAATAATACTATGAGAATCAACTTCACATTCCCAAACTACAAAGGCAATAAAATGGACCATCATAGTTGCAGTGAATCTAAAAGATCATATCATATAACACCAACTTCAACATTACAGAATCAAACATTACAAATGTAGTCCACAACACCCTTCTTAGCTGTATTGGTCACTGTACACAAAACCTTGGTATGGTGACAAACTATCAAGAGCTACAGGCACTGAGTGGATACTTTCTTAAAGACCATTCACTCAATTTCTGGATCATAACCGCTGGATTTGAAAGTTTTTAACACCTAAAATCAGAAAAAGCATCTTCTGATTGAAGAAATTGGTCGTTTTTCGTTAGTCTGGTAGTTCAGAACGTTCTCTTCTAGCTATATCTGCCATTGTGCTCAAAAACTTGTTTGGGTCACAACTGTTTGGGTTGGCAAGAGCTGCGTGAGTCAAGAACGGAAGCTTTCTCAATGATCTTCCACTCAAACCCTGGAGAGGAAAACAAAACGAACACAATCATGATCACATATTTAAGATCATTTCAATTCAACAATCTCCGTGCTCACTAGAAATAGTGGATTTTAATAGGCAGATAAGGATCTTAGTTCCTCACCTCACATGCCTCTGCAGCTTTAAGTAATTGTTTAGGCAGATGTAGTGGAGTTTGAGAACCTTCTACTCCTTGCATTTTCAACTTCTCTTTCAAACTACCATAATTTGGAAGTTCGAGGTGATCACCATCCTACAATATTCCAGATTTGTTAGTAATAATCAACTTTACAATCCATGTCACACCAACATTCACTTGGACAAAAAAAAGACATGGATGAATAAAGGATCAATCCCAATTTCTGCACAACAACTAGAATGAGAAGTATCTGGACCTGGGGTTTTGACAAGATTCCAGTACGTAAAAGCTCCTGCAAGCAGGACCTTAGTATTTCATAACGTGCGTGAAGAGTTGGTGGACCAACATATGCTTTGATGTCTGCTCGATCGACAAAAGCTACATCTGCAATCCAACAAATGGTGAAGTTCTAAATATGTGAATTTATTTTGTATCCCTCGTAGGAAAAGTTAAAAATAACGGAACAGAGGATAAGGATCCTACTTAAAAACTGAAAGAGGTTTAAAAATGACAAGAGCTTGGGATCTTTCAAGAGAACATGTTATCCATATTCTAGGATCAGAAATTATTAGGAAAAGATGAAAATCTTAGAAAGCTTTAAAATAAGTTCTTTAAATTGGGATAATTATAATGGTTTAAAGAATTGAAATTACAAAGGGAACCAAGGTGCATAAACAAAATGAACTGGTATAAATAAATAGATGTGAAGGGACAGGATTACAAGATTTCTGGAAGGTCTCTCCCCACTAGAGATTGTCCAAAATTTTATTTTAGAGCCCAACTTAGCATCAAATATGGTTAATTTCTATAAGAAAAGGAAAAGCAGAGCATTTGACTAATTCGTTGCAGTGAAGTGGCCCAATTTAGAAAAGAATGAAAGATATTTTATGTCTTGTTAATTAGATTTTTGCCATGCAAGGACAAGTTCCCCTTATAATTGCAGATCATCAGTCACCTAGTTATCTTCTCTTCTCCAAATAATCCAACTATTATTGATTGAGTTAACCACACACATTTCTTGCTTCATTCTCTCTCATGATGCCCCATTACCAATCTTAAAAGTGTTCGCTCACTGTTGGAATATGGCTGCTAGGATGAGTGGACAGGCATTATTGTTGAATCATCTCCATATAAAGAATTGTGTAGATCCATTTGAACATCACTGACTACCTTTTTATGCAATCTAATAGATTACTCAAGTATATGCTGCAATTGTTTGCCACAATGAAATGAGAATCTTGAGAGTGACGTTCTTAGAGCCATTATGGTTAATTTGGGATAGAACACAAAAACTGTAGTTACTGGCCTACGGATTGGGAGAAGCATGCAGAGAAGAAATCTGGACGATAAGGATAAAATGAGATGATAAAAATTTGCGTCCTAAATCATATAACCACAATAAGGATATTTGTCCAAAATGCAAAGGAACAGAGGGAGATTGAGGAATTCAAGTTAGTATTCAATGAAACGAAAGAAAATAATTAAATACAAAATTTAAAATAGTCATGAACCTACCAATAGCAGCAGTTATATTGGAAGTGGTAAGAATTATCACATTTGGTGAGGATTTCAATTTGTCCATATGAGTCAATAGTGCATTCACAACCTGAGAAACCACATTCAAATTTTAACACGCATTTAGAGTTTTTTCCCCCCTTGAATCATTATGAAATAATTGTGTGTGTGTTTTTTTCTAATAATTGGAGGGGGGAGGGGGTTACGAAATCATTGTACCATGTTAGTTATAAATAGCTACTTTTGATCCATTTAGGCAAGACATTCTACACTATTGTTTAGGCCTAGTTTGGAGGTACAAACAGAAGATACCCTTATAGAATCTGATGGTTCAGAACCAGACAAAGCAGCTTTTCTTGCAGCAGCAAGGCTTTCAACTTCATCTGCAGAACCGTCGTAAATAAATGAGTATAATAAGCCAAAATAAAGAAAGATGAACATCAAATTGACAATTTGTAATGATATTTCTCACCAATCAAAACAAATACCAGATTGTTTTCTTCCTCCACCATTTCTTGAATTTTTTGAAAAAGTTTTGCAACCTAAAGAATACAAGTGAAACGTTAAGTAATAAACCACATGCATCTCAACTCCATTAGTTCAGGTGATCATGCTAAAATTGTACAGATCTGTTATGTAAGTTACAATGAAACGTACAAATGTCAACCAATAATGAAAGGATGCATGTTGATGTTGTAGATACACAAATAGAATCCAAAAGTTTAATGCTAGGCATAAGTTTTTATACAACCTTGTAAACTTTTTTTTCTTTTTGATAAGTAAATTAATTGTGAAACACGATTTGTAATGTTTTCAGTAGTTTGCCTGAAAATTTGTAATCACCAAGCTGTTTGTTGGGAAGTATGAATGGCGTCTAATTGCAACTAGGAGTGAGTAAGAAATTGCTTGGCAATCACTGAATTAGTAACTAAAACATACAGACACACCAACGGGCCAGTGGCCTAGCGGTATCAGCCTCTTACTTCCCAAAGGGAGGTCAGGGGTTCAAGTCTTAGAAGAGACAAGTGTGTGTGAGTACCAACTAGGGAAAAAAAAAAAAAAAAACATACAGACACACTGTCCAAATAATCCTTTTCCAGTAGCATTTAAAGGAATCATCTCAAATGACATGGAGCAAGTATTTCCAGAATAGGCACTACAGCTTCACTTTAACTGTGTTTACATATAATAGATCCTGAAAAGGGGAAACTATTGTGCCAAAGTTTTGCCCAACCATCGTTTTTTAATTCATAATCAACTTTGTGTTTTATAAACTTGCAGTAATCATATGGAGAAGATTTCTGCTACCAACACTTTCTGGTAGTTTAAAAGTTGATATAGTAAGAACAGGTATTCAATGTTCAACCTTTTATGATTTTTATCTAAGGCTAAACTTGGTCACTTCTAGAAGTGGAATTAGTAATATACTTATGCATATCGGTCAACTATCTGACGAAGACAACTTAATAAAAAAAAGAGCAGGACTTTGTACATACCAACTTGCCACTTTCAGAAAACCATTTACTGAACAAAGAATGCGCATTAACTTCAATCAATTGGCACTGTGGGTATCTGATTTTGCACCAAATGTAAAGCAAAGGTTTAGATTGGTCTAGGATAAATGTCATGAAGAATTGAAGATCACATAGTGATTCAGAAAAGTAAAATTTGTCAAAAATATAGTTAAAAAAACCTGTGGTTAAAATGTATTGACAGTTTTTGAGCCAATGCTTTGCATAAAGATGTCTTGCCTGTCCCTGGAGGTCCATGCAGAAGAATAATGCTGCAAACCATATACACACACACATAAATATATATGTACAAGGAACGGAAAAGAATATAAGCTTTACCGGTGGTCGAATAGTGCTTATCAAGAAGTAACTAGCAAGATGAACTATTATCAACAGATTTTACTTCTCACACACATATGCACAAAAATTAAAGGGAAAAAAATATAAATTAAACAAAAGAAGAAATCATAAATGCAGATCTGACGTGTTGTGCGCAGTTGCACCATCTTAAAAAGTGGCACCATTTAAGCATTTACGTCCATCCTTCTGCTGAATGGTCCAATTACATCAAATGTGAATGCAAATTAAATCTTGCATGTAGGTGGGTATGAGAAATAAAACCATTATCACAATATTAAGTCTATGACTCAAGAACATCTATATACCAGAAACTAGTTTTGGTTGCTGTGGCATTATATAGTAAGAGCACCATCATCAACCCATTGGAACCAAATTATGTTGAGATTGACTGCAGATATGTTGTTTAATGAGTCATTCTACACAGGCTTTCAAAGCCACGTTGCCAACATTATGAATAATTGACAAACAAAGATAGTAAATAATTAGTAGGTCAACAGCAGATGCATGGAGGAGCAGATTACCTATTCTAAGAGTTTAGTGTGCTAGACTGAAAAAATAGGGTGCAAAACTTCTAAAGTGCATTAAGGATAAAAGTGTGATGGTTGGCCAATAGGCCAGTGGCATAGCAGTTTCAGACCCCTACTTCCCAAAGGGAGGTCGTGGGCTCAAGAAAAAAAATGTGTGATGGTTGCTCTATTCGTTGACAGGATGGCATTTTATTGCTAATCACCATTTTCAAATCGAAGTGAAACCAAAGGTTGTAACCCAGTGACCTCTTCTCTACCTCTCAAAGAGGAAGGTGGAGGATCAAATCCCTGGAGGGGCAAAAGTGGGAAAGTGTGTCATTTGCCACTAAAAAAAAAAAAAGAAAGAAAGAAACACCACCAAAAAAAAAAAGGGACTGAAGATTTAAGATGGCATGTAAAAACTTTAGCCTTAAACAACTATATGAAATACAAGATCATTACCCAAGGCTCCGACAGACAAACAACTATATGGCATACATTCCTCACATGATTTGCTTCTCCATAGTTTTTTCAATCCTTGATCTTCAACTTTCTCGATTAAATTGCTCTTGTATGATTATATTTGATGTGTTCCTTACTTTGAATCTCCCAATCACATATATTGACTGATCAATGGTAAATCTAGATTTATCATCAAAACTTTCTCTCTTTAAAAATATAAATTATCTTACTAGATTGTAAAGAGACTCAATTGATCAACCTACATTGACCATAACCCCATATTTATAACCAATATAGGAGTCCCACGTAAAATGCGAAGTAGAATCCTTTTAGAAATCAGTTTGACAAAATTCTTAAAAAATATAGCTCCCCAAAGGTCGTTGATAGAGTAACTGGCTGTACGTCAATCGGTCGGTGTCAGATTTCAAATTTAAAAAGGAAACACAATTGTTTAGGCTTCTTAAACCAATACAACTTCTACCCACACTCTTCAATATCCCTCCACTCCTGAGCTGAAGAGGAATAGCTGTTAAAGTAGGAAGTCTTCTAAACACATTGTTGATGTTCATTGTTTTAGGGTTTTAAGAGTAAGATTTAGGTCTTATTGACGACTTTTTTGATCTTTTAGATGCTACTGGTCCTTAGGTCTTTTTTTCGTTCTTGTATTAGGAACGTGTTCCCCTTTTGAACGCTTTTCTAATATACTTTTTACTTATCAAAAAAAAAAAAAAAAAAAAAAAAGGGGGTAAGATTTAGGTCTTAAATTATGATCATGTTGATGAAGGTTAATTTCAAAAGGTAATTTGTGTTACGAGGAAACTGTAGGGCCTATACATTGGCCTCTTAAGGTGAGATGATAAAATGTTCGATAAATAGTTGGAAGAGCTTTGAACACTCTCTCGCTCTCTCTACTTATCCCTTCTCTTCTCCTCTCTTTCTATCCCTTTCCTCTTGTGAACAAGAGATGTAGGACACATCTTCCACTCGTAGCTTCTCTCCTCACTATTCATTTTCTTCCGGTCTCCTCCTTCTCTTCATATATAATAAAATAATAAAACAGCTTAGTTTATACGCCACCATTTGTTTGAAGAAATTATCACGAGAGCCATGAAACATCAATTATGAATGCATAGGACCTAATGGACTTGAACAGAAGTAGAAATTTTAAAGTCCAACAATATACTGTATCGAAAAGCCCCTTGTAAATTAATCCCACCCATCACATTGGACAAGTAATATGAAAGCCTTAATGGAGCTATTGCTGAAGAAATTATTCAAGGCAGGAACGAACCATGGAACCCCTTCCCTCACACCTGTTCTTGAATTCATGAGTTCTAACTTCTAACTTGGTCTACAATCTACATCTACAGTCATCGACTCAGGAGAGTGCATCGGGTGCAAGTGTGTCTAAATGTCAAACCTCTATGAATATCGAGTCTTGGGTAATGGTACCTAACTTGAAATTTGCCAAAAATTGAGGAATGGTTATGTAGGCATGTCCTACACATTTAAATACATTATATGTTATAGGGTAAAGTGCATTAAACCCCCCTGAACTATTGGGGTATGTGCAAGAAACTCCCCTGAACTATAAAAGTTGCAAAAAAACCCCCTGGACTATTGGGTATGTGCAAGAAACCCTCCTGAACTATATATTTTTTTGCAGTTTATCCCATCCGCACAAATTGATTGACTGAAAGGGACGATGAAGCCGAGGAATTTGTTGCTGGGATCGGTGGGTCTCCTGTCATAGCTCCATCATAGTCGTTGCACCACCCGCCAGATCCGTCGACCATATATATCGCACTTTTCTGCACCGTTGCGTCAGCCCATCGCCGTCACCGCCTTGCCCGCCGTTCAGCTCACCTTGCTCGCCGGTCCATTCCATCGTCCATTCCAAGCTTGCTGGCCCATTCCGCCATCTCCATAACCGAGCACACCGCCGTCCGTGTTTTGAGCACACAGCCGTCCACAGTTCACCGCCGAGCCCCCTTGAGCTCGCCGCCGCCTCCACAGTTCACGGCCGAGTCAACCGAGCTCTCATCACAGTCGAGTCCTCCGCGCACAAGCCGCCATCATCCGAGACCGAGCCATTCCGCCGACCTCGGATTTCTTTGGTCTTTTTTCTCTCTCTCTCTAGCACTCTGTTTTGGGTTGTGTTGGGTGAAAAACATCTTTTGGCAGAAAAAAAATGTAAGAAGTGTATAAGTTAAAACGACGCAGTGTTTTATAAGGGTAAATTGGTCTTTCAAAATTTTTAGTGCCGGAAGCTGATGTCAGGAGGGTAAATTGCAACAAAATCATAGTTCGGGGAGGTTTTTTGTAGTTTAGGGGGGTTTATTGCGAATGACCAATAGTTCAAGGGGGTAAATTGCAACAAAATCATAGTTCAGAGGGGTTTTTTGTAATTCATGGGGGTTTCTTGCAAATGACCAATAGTTCAAGGGGGTTTAATGCACTTTACCCTATGTTATATAATTGCATAATCTAGGAAGCTCGAACACGCTTAAAAGGTCTAAGTGTCCGTGTGGGACACATCAAACTTGAAAATGCGTTGGACATGCCAAAAAAATGTCTGAATATTTTTCCTTTTTAGACACATCTAGGACATGCTGTGGACACGCAACCAACATGTTGTGTACATGCAACAGACACGCCAATACAACGTGGAATACCGATACACCATGGACACACTATGGACACGCTGCAGATACATGTATCTGATTAGAATTTTTTTAAAAAATAAAAAATAAAAATGTGAAAAATATAAAGTATGTGGAATTCTTTGAAAATTTTCAACAATATGGGGGGTGAAAACATAAAAACAAAATGTTTTTATGAGAAATTTATCAAGTCATTTTATTTTTCTCTCAACAAAACCTTAATATTATTTTTTTTTCCTAGTTTCAACAAAAACTTAATTCTCCTTATTTTTTATAGTATTTTTCCTTCTTCAACTGATTCTCTCTTTCCTAATAGAACCCACTTTCCTTTTCTTCAACAAAGCCTGAATTTTAGAAACTGTTAGATATTCAACTTCAGTCTATTTTCTCTCTTATTATTTTTTTCTTTCATTCTTTGTTCAACTATATTCAACTCATTCTCTCTTTCCTTTTCTCGTCTTAAATGAGAGAATTGTTGTTGTGAACATTAGTTATTGTGATTTGAGATTTTTAATTTGATGAAAAGTAATATTAGCCTTATAATATACTTATCACATATATAAAAATAAATACATTTTTAGTCATGTCCTGTCCTGTCCCCTCCATGGCCATGTCTTAATTTTTAGTATTTGTCGTGTCCCCATGTCACGCATCCATATTTGTATTTCTTAGAGTATAATGTATGACTTACTTATTCTTTAAGTAAATGCTCAATTAAAATAAAGACTATAGTGAAAATATAATTCCATCCATCTCAAAAAGTAGGAAATTCTATTTTACTATCAAATTTGATGTTTTTTCCTTCTTATCATACATGGATGACCAGGGTTCTAGATTTTAATTCGTGTGTCAAACTCGTATCCTCTACCCTGATCCATGCCATGATGTGTCAACAAAGGTACCTTGGAGGGAATAGGAGAGTCCATATAGCACAATTCAGCACACTATAAGTCAACAAGACAAAGCCCATCCATCAAACCTGAAATCAAATATTGAATGTGCTCAAAAGCACATTGAGCATTTGAACTCAATATTCCATGTCTCTGGGAATGAAGCTGGCACTGTCACGCTGGTATTGTTTACATAAATGTTAAAAGTTAAAAGTTGCACTAATGAGAAGTTATTAATTATCACTGTTCAAGGTCAGCCTTGAAACATTAAAGACTCAAGAAGGGAATCTCCATTCATCATATGTTTTTCAATTTGCAATTTATAAGCATGATCCTGCTCTACAGGTTTGTAATTAATTAGGCTTGCTGACCATAAGGGAGTACATGTTTGGTGTTTTGTGCATCAAAGAAATACTTATTTAAGTCCAAACCTTCAGAAACTGAAATTCATAATATGAACTTTCAAGAGTACCCACAGTAAATAAATAGATAAATCATAAAAGCCAAAATCAGAATACATCGAAGAAAAAATATAGCACTATTAGTCCAGTTAGACCTTTTTAAATTGCCACTTCCACGTGGTACATAATACAAACAGCTTTAGCATATCTGGATAGCTGATTCTTAAGATTAGCAAAAAGTTGCTCACCGGTTCCATGATACAAGGAAAGGATCAACGCCCTTTTCAGTAAAGAGCAAAGCACTTGCCGCATACCGCAACAACCTTTGTTTGAGGCCAGATTCATAAATTAAGCTGCAGAAGCAAATGTCATGTTTCTAGTTTCTGGATCATTTCCAAGATGGCAGAGATGAAAGTAAAATTGCAGAATAAACCTTTCCCACATGCCATCAAATTCTTTTGCTGGAAGAATCCATTCGTTGAAGCTAGAAAGTTGGGCTTCCCCGCTTAAGTCCTCACATGGTCCTTCCTCACTGAGCTGCAAAAGCAACAATCAAATTCAAATTGAAGAAGATATGGGTATAAAATCAACTTAACTCCACACATGACTGATATAAGTCAGGAGTTTCAATTATTGTATTAACAGAAGATTACAATTATCAACTGACAAGATCTACCCACTGATAGAAAGTCTTTTAATGATTGTAAAAAATATTCAGACAACATCTTAGACGACAAGAATGTGCAGTATGCAGTGTTAATGTTATAGTGTGAATATACATCTACTTTGATGAGGATTCGTAAATGAGTGACATTATACGAACACACATAACCCAATTAAGCACCAGACACAAAGTAAGCAATGCTAATCACCTGAAATACATGCACAATAGGTTTGACTTGCCAGAACAGAAGGATATCATGGTTCTCCACCCATATATCTACAAAAACCAACAATTTAGTGACAAAACTAAAACAGAAAAAACTGAAGAAAAAAGATCACTGAATTTGAAGATAATAAAAACACACCCGAATCACAAATGTGGATTCTTTGCACATTTTCTACAAGAAATATATCATCTATAGGCACCAGAATGGGACCATCAATGTAGCTTAAACTCCTTTTTTCAAGCATCCTGAAACCAAAAAATTCTACACAGTAAGAAAACATTAAACTTAAGAATTTCATAAAAAAGTGAAAATGTTGCAACAAATAGACCCCAAAATTCACCAGTGATTAGATAATCAAATAACTGTAAACATTTAGCTAAGGCAATCTCAAAATGACCATCACAAATAAACATGAAAACGGAAAAAACTCTCTAATCCACATTACATATATCCGTGTGTATATATGTGTGTTTTCATCCTTACCTCTCGACCGCCAATCGAACATCTTCTAACCGAGCTGTGCTGGAGGGTTTTAAGCAAACTTCAACTGCAACAACAGTTAAAAATAAATTAAAACCATTCAAGCTTCATATTTCAAAACCATCATGAAATTGTTTGAATTAACGGTCAGAATTGAGGTGGAAGGTCACCTGAAACGAGAACTTTGTCTTCAGACAGTGTAGGAGAAGGAACTGCCGGTTCAGGAACGCCGCCGTTTTGGTCGGAGGTGTCGGCGTCGTTGGGATTTTGCAGAGAGATCTCCATGGGAACACTCATTTTCTTGATTCTGTGAGAGTTTCGGATTACACTAATATGGAACGCATCACTGAGGATCAGACGGAATGGAGAAGAAATGCCAAACCCTAGACAAAGGGGTTTTCCTTTGAAATGAGCGGGAAGAATAAATTGGGTTTTGTGTAGACCACCCAGAAGAAGGACTATGTGATATGATCTGGACCGTCCAAATAATCATCTACTTACTGTAAGAGTGTTGTCCTCCTATAAAAACCACACCAATCATAGAAGTACATTTGTCTGGATGGGTGATTTTGTAAATAAGAGTTTGAAATAGAATAATGCAAATTTCTTTTGTTTTTTTTTTTTATTTTGGGGATTCGAATTCAGACTATGGTTTGTTGTATAGTCGAATGTTTAACGTATCGGTTAATACGCCACCTTTTTTCAAGTTCAATACGCGACCTGTTTCGGTCAATTTATACTGATTTTGTCTGAATCCGTTACATCACGACTGCAATCGATACTACAACCGTAATTGATATTGCGAACCATAATTCAGGTACAATAAAAAATTGGACATTCTACTAACTAATTCACTTAATAATGTCTCAATAATACTAATTGAAATGTTGATTTGATATAACAAAAATGATTTGTAAGAAGATGTTATGTAAAAAATTTTAGAAGTCTGGATAGGATGGTCCTGGACTCCTAATGTGTCTATTGATTTGAGAGTAAAATATTGCTGATGACAAGATAATTTGTATGCCAACCCCTTTTCCTAAATGTGCATTTGTATGCCTCTGAAAAAAAAAATTAATAAATAAATAAAAAATAAAAAATGTGAAATTTAGCATTATTTTTATTTTTATTGGTAAAAAACACATTCACTAACTCATCCATCTACATATTCCGTGGAAATTTAAACTCTCGACCTTCTGTTTTGGTAATTAAGGAAGTATCATATTCTATTTTGTTGTTACATCAAGGGTGTGTTTGCCTACATGGAATTGGAGCCTTGGAATTGATAAAAAAAATAAATTAATTAATTAAATTGGTTCAATTTTTTTAGTTATTTTTTCAAATTCTACAAATTTTAATTTCAAAGCTCTAATTTCATGCAACCAAACACACTCTAAATATATTACATTACGTTATCCAAATTCCAAATCTCACCTAACTTGTGGACATATTTAAGGGTAGTCATTTTACAAAACATATGTAGCTCAAAAATCATTTGAGGCCATTATAATCATATTATACACACTGAAATGATTGTATTGAGCAAGTTGGTTAATTTTAAAGTCACTGATAAAGTCAAACTTAGTTTAATAAAAAGCTTAATTGTATCAAATTTGTTTATGTATAGCCTGATACTTAGGAAGCAACAACGATATAATATTGAGGAGGCCCGAGATGACATGGGCCAGATATGATTTGCAAACGCGACATCCGGTCCGTACAAATGGGTCAGGCCCATAGAGAGACACTGCTATATGGGCCGAACGCGAATAAGCCCATCAAAGATGACCAGAACTCATGGAGGAACGGGCCTAGATCCAGCAGTCCATCAACATTTGTAAATATCTATAAATAGGAGAAGTAATGAAAAGAATAGGGGAGATATTTTTTGGGTTGAAATACAAGAATTCTAGAGAGAGAAAGGGAGGAGGGATTTCTTGTATCTTCAATTGGCGCCGTCTGTGGGAAATCGTGAAAGATTGGTTGATCAATGATTAATATCGCGTGGATTCAGACCAATCTGGGGGATCGAGACTCGATCTTTGGGAGTTGGATCCAGATCTGAGCGATTGTGACCTACTCTGGAGGAATTTTAGTTCCTGTTGCTTTGGCAGAAGTGGCTTCAGATCTACGCAACAACGAGTTGTTCGATTGTGGCAGGACTTGACAGATTTAGAATTCGGACAATTTAGATCTCGTCAACCGTGAGCATAATTCGGAGAATTCGAAACCAGATCTGAAAAATTCCCACTCACGAAGCTCGGATCTACTCACGAACTTGAGATTAATGCCTTTACTCCGTTCAGGAATAATGATAGGTGAAAGCTCCAATCCGATGGAGGTTGTCCAACAAACGAAGCTTGAGGAGTTGATGAACTTGATCGAGGCTCTCAAAAAAGAGAATGCAGAATTGAAAGCCAGAATGTAACATCAGCAAATGCCCGCGGTTTCGCGTCCACCTCCGGCCGGTGAAGGAGGTGTTCAATCTAATATCGCGCATCAAGGCGAGCAGGATGAGAACAGTCAGTCAGCTCTCCACCGTGATGAAAGGAGGATGGATGATTTGCCGCCAAATGCTCGTCGAGTTGAGGATCACTAAGGATCGACTCACGTTGATCCGCGACGTGAGCAGATCAGACAGAACGAAGCCATGACCTTCGATCCGCATCGGGAAAGGTTCAACTGAGAGGAGGTGATAGAGGTTGATCGCTGCCAAGTTGCGTCGCCTTGGCAAAGAGAGCTCATAGAGGAACGGTCGTTCGATCCGTCCTACCGGCCCTCCATGGCTACAATCACTCATCGAGGTTCGGAGAGCAGAACCGTAGCTCACAGAGCTACCACTGGGGGCCAAAGAGAGAATGAAGCACTCCGATCCGCGGCTCGAACGGTTGATTCACCATTCACTGACGAGATCCTGAATGCCCCGCATCCAAGGAAGTTTGCTATGCCAGTATTTATTCTGTTTGACGGAACAACCGATCCGATCGATCATGTGTACCATATCTAGTTGAAGATGGCCCTGAATACGGAAAACGACGCTTTAATGTGCAAATGTTTCCCTACAAGCCTAGCTGGACCGGCGCTCAGCTGGTTCAAGAACTTGCCTAGGAGTTCCATTGGTAGCTTCCGAGACCTGTGCGATCGGTTCATAAGCCAGTACTATGGGAACAAGCGTCCGCTAAAGGACATCTCAAGCCTATTCACAATGAGACAGCACAAAGATGAACGTCTCCAGACTTTTCTCACCAGGTTTAATCTCACTAAGAGTATGGTGATCGAATGCCACCCTTCTACAGCGGTTCAAGCCTTCAAGTTAGCCATGACACGTGGCACTCCGTTCCATACCAGTCTGGTAGTGAACACGCCGACGACTATGGATTAACTCAATGAAAGAGCCGACGGCTTTGTGCGCCTAGAAGAAGAGGAGGCAGCCAATGCTCGGACAGCGTCGCTTGTGTCGACCGAGGAAAAGTCCAAGGCAAAGATTAGGCAGAAGCAGGCTCAGCCGCAGCGTCAGACCTCCTGGAAGGCAGAAAAGAGGTCCAGGGAGGAAGAGCTGATCACTCCGCTGAAAGTCACTCTGGCGAGGCTATATCAGGAGAACAAAGATAAGTTTCATCCACCACTGCCAATTAAGCAACCCCTCAAACAGAGGGATCAGACTAAACATTGTGCTTTCCATTCTGATTTCGGTCATCAGACTAATGAATGCAGGAATTTGAGAAGGCAAGTGGAGATGTTGATAGCTAGAGGGGAGTTCGCGAGTTATGTTCAAGGCTCGGCGACAGAGCAGAATCGACCGATGGAACAAGTAAAAAGGAGCCATAAACAAAGCTCCCACAATTCACAACCAGTTCGTATAATCAATGCTATCCACGGTCGACCCGAACCCAACGAAGATTCAGATGAGCTGCTCCGAGCGCGCCTACGGCAGGCGCAGATGAAGAAAAGGGTCAGCAGTGTGAATACTCTACACCAGCAGATCACATCGACACAGATAAAGTTCGACAGGACAGACCTGCAGCGTGTTCAAATCCCCCATGAAGACCCGTTGGTAGTCAGTTTGACAGTGGCGGACTGCCTGGTGCGCAGAGCTCTGATCGATCCCGGGAGCAGTGCGAATGTCATGCCGAGGGACACATTTGATCGGCTCGAGATTAAACCAGAGAGGCTCAAGCCCACTAGAAATCCCCTGTTAGGATTCGATGGCAAGAGGGTGGAGCCCGTCGGAATGGTGGAAGTAGAAGTTCAAGCTGCAGAACGAGTTCTTATGGAAACTTTCGTGGTTGTAGAGATTCACCCCTCGTACAATCTCCTAATGGGAAGAGGATGGATTCACAGAGTCCAAGGAGTACCCTCAACTTTGCATCAAGTCATGAGGTGCCTCGGACCCGATGGAAATAAGGTGATAGACATTCGTGGGGATCAGGTTGCAGCCAAAGAGTGTTATTCCGTCACACTAAAGTATGCTGGGAAAGGGAAGGCGCCCGTCCGATCGGCAAGCCCCAGATAGCAATTACAGGAACCTCCGCCCAAGTAGAACAGGGTGGAGGAGTCAGTTGACTTGATCGAAGAGCCCCTCCTGGATGTGCAGATCGATCAGTCCAGGCCAGAACGAACTACCAGAGTAGGAATAAGACTGACCAGGGAAGAGCGGCAAGAGCTAGCTGACTTCTTGTCTTATAATGCCGATGTATTTGCATGGAGTCACCTAGACATGCCTGGAATTAATCCCTCCGTATCCTGTCATTCCTTGAATGTCAATCCCAATTTCAAACCAGTAAAACAGAAGCAATGAAGATTTGCTCCAGAACGCAACCAAATCATAGCCGAGGAAGTTGATAGGCTGCTTGATGCGGGATTTATCAAAGAAGTACACTACCCTGATTGGTTGTCCAACGTCATTGTCGTACAGAAGAAGAATGGGAAATGGCGAGTATGCATTGATTTCACCAATTTGAACAAAGCCTGTCCCGAATGATAGCTTCCAGCTGCCAAAGATTGATCAAATAGTGGACGCTACCACCGGGTATGAACGTTTAACCTTTCTGGATGCTTATTCAGGTTATAATCAGATCCCTATGGACCCGGCAGATGAAGAAAAAACTTCTTTTGTAACCGAGAGAGGGACATACTGCTACAAAGTTATGCCTTTCGGACTAAAGAACGCGGGAGCAACTTATCAAAGACTTGTTAGCAAAATTTTCAAGGATCAAATAGGAAAGATTGTGGAAGCCTATATTGATGATATGGTGGTAAAGAGTAGGAAGAAGAATGATCATCTGAAACATTTGCAAGATATATTTGATGTGCTGAGGCGATATGGGATGAGGCTCAATCCAACCAAATGCTCGTTCGGTGTGAGTTCCGGTCAGTTTTTGGGACACGTGGTCAACCGCAGAGGCATCGAAGTTAGCCCCGCTCAAGCAGAGGCTTTGATTAAG